AATAATATTGCATGAGTTCCTTGTTTTTCAATGCAGCATAGTATTTCATTGTGTGAATATACCACAGCTTCTCTATCCATTCGTTTGTTGATGGGCACTTGGGTTGTTTCCAACTCCTTGCTACTGTGAACAAAGCCACAATAAACATGGGTGTGCATACACCTCAGTTTCTTTCTTTCTTTTTTTTTTTATGTGTGTACCGTCAAATCGAATCTGACTGGTACAGGAGGTGATTGTTCCTCCTTCTTCAGCAGAGCGTCTGGTGGATTTGAACTGTGCATCTCTGGGATTGCAATGCAGCCTCTTGCCATTAGGCCACCAGAGCTCGCCACACCTCAGTTTCTAAACTGACTTCATTGCTTTCCAGTACTCTGAAAAGGTCCCTGACAGCACATTTTTTCCAATGCAATTTATCTTTTTATTTCCTGACTGTTGGTGCCAAGAATGTTGATTGTGGAGCGTAGCCCGCCCCCCCAACATAATCTTAATTTTATTCAAACATGGTTAAGCAATAAGAAATTTACTAGAAACTTTTTTCAGTGTTTTTTTAAGCTAGGTCTTTGCTGCCTTTTCTTTTTTAATTAGTTTGCATACAATAATTTATATACACTGTGTTTCATTCACCCATAAAAGTTTTGTTATTTGCTTCTTCTTAAAAGAAAAGTAACTCATTTTGTTAAATGTTTCCAATAATGGTTTTATGGCAGCTCTGGTCTCAGAATATGAGACAGGTGGAGGATGTGGCTCTGGGCTCGAGCTCTCTGCTCTCAGGCTATGTCCTCTGGACAAGCAGGTGGCAGTGGCAGGTACTGCAGGGCCCAGGGAGCTCCTGCTGCTCAGAGGGCTCAAACAGGGAACCGGCCAGGACAGGGCTGCCCAGCTCGAAGCTCCTTTGTTTCCTCTGTCCTGACAGCTGCCACTACAACCTTTTCCTCTGACCTCCGCAAGCTACTCACTCCAACACCAGCAACAAGAACTCCCATAACATTTTCTTATGGTGTTCATACACCACCCAGATAGCATAGCGTCCTAATTCACAGAATGTAGTGTAGACATTAAGTGACAAACATCTGTCTCTATTTCCAAATAGTGCACAACCTTTGAGTTACCTTGCCTCATGGTAACCCCACGTGTCAGAGTAGAACTGTGACATACTGTACTCTGTGAAAACCCTGTGCCACAGGGGTTTTATTTACTAACTTTTGGGAAGTAGATTGCCAAACCTTTCTCACAAGGTGCGTCTGGTGGACCTGAACCTTCAGCCTTCCAGTCAGCAGCCTACCATATTAAACATTTGTACTACCCAGACCAAAGCCAAAACCTGTTACCATCAGGTGACTCTCATGGGTTACAGAATAGAATTGTGCTATAAAGTTTGTTTTGTTGGCTGCAATCTTTAGGAAGCTGATTGCCAGGCCTTTCCTCTGTGGAACTGCTGGGTGGGTTTGAATCACCACAGGTTAGTAGTCAAGTGCTTAACTTTTGGTACCACCTGCACACAATTGGGGACCTCTGGTGGCCTCATGGGTAAGGAGTTGTGTAACCATCCCAAAGACAGCTAAGTTCAAATACACCACCTTCCCCCAAAGAGAAAGATGGACACTTTCCTTCCCTGTGATTTATAGCCGCAGAATACCCCTGGAGGGTCAACCATCAGTAGGTTCTATCTTAATGACAAGAAAAACTGGCACTATTTGTATGTATATATATATATATACTTAGGTTTGTTATCAAATGAATTAGGAAAGAAGCCAAAAATTAGCTTTTCTTTGAGAAGCAGCTCTGGTGGCACAGTGGAATGGTGTTGGACTGCTAATCTAAAGATTCCACTGCTGCTTTGTAGAAAGATGAGACAAATTACCTAAAAATTGTTGTTATTGTTGTCAGGTCATAAATGACCCCTCAGCAGATTTTCAGCAGCAGTCGATTACACAGGAGTAGACTGCCCAACTCTCTCCATCGCAATAGCTGGTGGATTCGAACTCTGTACCTTCGGGATTGCAGCACAGCTTACCAATACGTCGCCTTCCATTCTGTCTTACCTGGTTGCTAACAGCTGGAATCTACCCTGGGCAGTGGGTGGCTGCTTTGTTTATTTACTCAGCCTTGTTATTTACAAACAATTGGGCTGCTAAGCAAAAGGTTGGCAGTTTGAATCCACCAGCCTGCTCTACCAGGGAAAAACAGGCAGTTTACTCTCTAAAGATCGGAGAGGGAAGGGAAGTGTGATTTGGAACCAACTGGACCCCAGTGGCGGGATCTTGGGGCTTCTGCTTTTTGCAATTGTTAACAAAAACCATTAATGCTTCCAATAGAGACTCTTGTGTAGAGAAACACAGCTAAAGCTCTGCGTTTTTTTCTTTTCTCGGCACAGGCAGAAGCCACAACGGAGGAGCCCGATGTCCCGGGCGTGGGTGGAAGCCAGGTGGCCGACGGAGGTGGCGGCGGAGATGGCGGGCCTGGCCTGGGGCCAGCCGACGAGGATGTGGCCATGGCTCTGAGCCTCGCAGCCCTGCGGCCCCAGAACATGACGACGGCCCCCAACGGCCACGGAGCCGGCCTGTGCGCGGCCCCCGAGCCCAGGGAGCCGGGGATGGACACGCGGCCCTCGTGCCAGAACGGAGGCTGGGCCGGCGGGGACGGCGAGCCCGAGGCCCCGGAGCCCAAGGCCAGCCCTGCCCGGCTCCTGCGCTTCTTCTCCGCCGGCCGGAAGCGCGCGCCTCCCGCCGATCGGGCGCCCGCGGGCCTGGTGGGCAGCTCGTCGGCCTGGAGCGCGCTGGCGTCCTTCCGGAAGATGGGCTCCTTCAAGAAGCTCAGGTCCTCGGTGCTGCAGGGAATCCAAAGCCGGGAGGCGGCCGCGGCCAAGGACGAGGCCACGGCGGCCCAGGACGCGGGGAGGCCCGTGTCCAACGGCGCGGGGCCCCCGGGCGGCCGGCTCTCGTGCCTGGGGCTCCCCCTGGAGGCCGGCGTGGGTGGCGCCTCGGATTGCTCCGACCTGGAGGAGGCGGACGACGCCTTCCAGAGGAGCACGCACCGCTCGCGCAGCCTCCGGCGCGCCTACGGCCTGGGCCGCATCAGCCTGCTGGACCACGAGCGCCACCGCGGCCGGCCGCTGTCCTCCTGCGTCCCCGAGCCCAGGGTGTGCGAGCCCCGTGGGCGCAACCCAGACCCCGACACGCTCGTCTACCGGCGGAGCAAGAGCACCGACAGCCTCAACTTCCTGAAGAAAAGCTCCTTCAAGCGGAAGTCCACGTCCAACCTGGCGGAGCTGCAGGTGCCCGAGAAGCCGGGGCCGCAGAGGACGCTGAGCAGTTCTTCAGCCGACTCAGACAAGTTCGGGGGCTGCGAGCGGAGGACCAAGCGCTGGAGGAGCCCCCTCAGGGCCAAGGACTTCGACCGCGTCCTGAAGCTGGTCAGCAATGTCACCGAGGCCGCGTGGAAGCGGGAGAGCCCGAAGAGCAGGGCGCCCTCGCTGGGTGAGCCCAGCCTGAGGCTGCGCCTCAACACCAGGCTGCACGACGACTACTCCCGCCGCGTGTCCACCAGCACCGAGCCCGACAGGAGGCGCTGTGGACCCTCCACGCCGCCCATGGACGCGCCCGGCACAGCCGCCCCTAGCCCGGCCCCCCGGGGGCCCCACGTCGACGTGGAGACGGCCGTGTGTCCTCTGGAGGCCAGAGCCGCCCCGATGGCTGAGCGTGTGCACGCCTGCCCCGCTGACCCCGCACCCAGCCCCTTTGTCCAGGACCCCGCCGTACCCACGCCCCCCAGCAAGCTGACCTTTGATCCCGAGCGGCCCCCCACGCCTCTGCGGCCCACCACCCCCAAGCCGCAGAGCCCCCAGAGCCCGGGTGCGGGCAGCGCCAGGGGCAATGTGCATTTCGCCTGTCCCAGTCATCACAGTGCCCTGTCCCTGAGCTCCATGGAGAGCGAAGAGAGGGCCGAGGGGCCCAAGGAGCAGGGTTCCGTGGCCTCCCCAGACGGGGTGCAGACCCCAAGTGGTGATGACGGTAATGAGGACAGCGGCATCAGCAGCTACTCTCAGCTGAGCCTGAGCGGGGCCGCGGGGCCAGAGGACAAGAAGGAGGAGGTGAGGACCAAAGGGCAAGTGCACCTTGTGGGTGACTGCTTGTCCGTGGGGTGACTCTCAGGGCGGGCACCCCTTACCCACGCCTGACATTTCCATGGTCCCAAGCGCCCCCATTAGTGGTCATGGTGAGGGTTTGTTAGCTGCCATTGACGTGTCCTTAAATCATGGTGACTCAATGATGTCCTCATGTCCCATGGTGTTTTCATTTGCAGATTTTAGAGGGTAATCACCAGGCCTTTCTTCCTAGTCTTAATCTGGGAGCACCACTGAAATCTGTTAAGTATCAAGAAACATACAGGTCTTTCCTATCTGCGTCTATCACGTAACCAGACCAAACCACTGTCATTGAGCCCATTCTCAAGAATAGGGATCCTATAGAACAGAGAACTGCCCCGTAGAGTTTCTGAGGCAGTAAATCTATATGGAAGGAAATTTTCACATCTTTCTCCCATGAACTGCTGACCTTTTGGTTAACAGGTGAGTATATTAACCACCATACCATTAGGCCTTCTTGTCCCTATGTAAGGCAAGATGTTTATCCCCACGTTATTCTTCAAGGAAACCAATAACTCTGAGCTAATAATTATACTCTGATTGGTGCAGGTAACAGTTGTCAAATTGCTGCTGCATCACAGGTACTTTTTGTGCAGTGAATTGCTAATCTCTGAAATTCCTGAAGGTGATGCTTCCCACACCATTCAATTAAAGTTTGATTAATCACCTGCTGAATGTTAAGATCCCTCATGGTGCTGTGGGAGAACTTTGATTGCTAGTCAGAAGGTTGGGAGCATGAAGGGACCAGAGAGATGGGACAGTCTGCTCCTATTAAGATTTACAGCTTTAGAACCTTCATGGGGCTCTGTACTTGTATAAGGTCATTGTGATGCTCTGGAGACAGTGGATTTCTTTTTGCTGAGAGTTCTAGTGACACTGTGGTTAAATGTTTGATTGTTAAGAGAAATGCCACCAGTTTAAAGCACTAGCTGATGCACATGTGAAATCTGAAGCATGTGCCTCAGAAAAGAGACAGCTTTGGAAATCCTGTGGGGCAGTTCACGGTGAGTCAGAATTGACTCGACGGCAGGTTTTGGGTTTTATTATGGACTCTGTGAATGGAAAAGTTGTTCTACTCCATGCAGCCACTGCGTGCTCTGGAAATTTCCATCTTTGAAACACTTTCTGACCCTGATTGTGTTCGCATCTCCCTCTCAGCAGAGTGCATATAGAGCAGGGTGTACCTGCAAAGATACTGCTGCCTGTTAGTCTTACTGCCTGGGGATGGGAATGCGTGAGAAAGAGTCCTCTTCATGCCTTTCAGCCCCAAATGATGGCTGCTCGCAGGGGCTTTATGAGGGTGATTGTGCTTATTTTAGAGCTGAGTGCAAGCATCTCCTGAATTGCCTCAACTAATAGCTGTCAAGGCCCCGAGAGCAATGTTCTCATCATAGGCTGTCAGAATTCAAGACGACTTCACTTGCCTGTATAATTTTCACTTTATAATCACATTCAGTAATATTACCTTACATGGTGGGGAGCTGGGGCCACGCACCCCTGTGGATAGATTGTAAATGAGTATTCGCTTACATCCTGGGACAGCTTTGCAGATACAAATTGGCGTTAGTCTCAGAAAATGTTCCCCTAGCAACAGTTCCCTCTCCCCGCATCCCTAGGGCTCAGCTGGGCCTTCACTTCTGTTGCTGAATGCCAGTCCACAAAGGGCTACAAACTCAAGCCTTTTTTTGTGGAGTTTTTGTTTCTACCCTCTGCTCTGTGGGGAGCCTGGATACTGGAATATCTGGTTGTTCAATTTCAAGAGCTCCAAATCCCAAAGCTCCTTGGACTGGGGTCTCCGGGGCAGCTAGAGCAGGGCAGGCCACACTGCAGGTGTCCTAGACCTGTGTGGAAAGCAGTGGAGATCAGCAGAGCCAGTCTGGCTCCTTAAGTCTTCTGGATTGTTGACAAGTCCCTGCCTCATTTGCATATTTTGAAAGCAGCCTTGGTGAGGGTTGTCAGGACACAGCCTCATTCCAGGAAGCCTTCCTGTTGGGCCAGTGTCAGGGCCTCCCTGCCTAAAGGAGGAGACAAAGAGTTCACCTTTCCTCCACCTGATCACTGTCCAAGGAGCCCTGGTGGCCTAGTGCCTTACATGCGCTACTAACCAACTGAAAGATTCAAAGCCACGGGCTGCTCGGCAGAAGGATGACGTAATAGCTTTCTGTGAATATTGACAGCATCAAAAACCCTGTGGAGTTACCGTGAGTCAGAATCCACTTGATTTCTAGTTCTGTCCTCATTGATGGTTCAGGACTGCCCCAGGCCCCTAAAAAGAATTTGCAAAGATTCTTAAATTTCTCCCCACCCCTCCCCAGTATCTGTCATATCTAATTCATGGCAGCCTCATATGTATTAGAGTGCAGCTGTGCTCCATGGGGTTTTCAGGGACTCATTTTTTGGAAAGACATCACCAGATCTTTCTCCTGAGGTTCCTCTGTGTGGACTTGAGCCTCTAACCTTTTGGATAATAGCTGCGTTCATTAATAATTTGCAGTTTTTAACAGGATACAATGACTCTAAGCAGAGCATGACCAGTCTCACTTCTGCCCCTTAATCTGAAGTGCACATCTGTCCCCCACCCAGTATTAGAGAGGTGGTGAAACCATGGGGAGACTGCTTCCCACAGATTAAAACAGCCTGTTCATACCTTGCTCATTGCATGCTAGTGCTTACTGGTTCCTTTTCCTCTTACAGTGCAAAACCTGGAAGGTTCTTTATGTTAAAGATGAGAATTTTATTTTCTGTTTAACAGCGCTCCTGAAAAGGTAATCATTGAAATAGTTTTTTCCCCTGAGTACATATTAAGTAAACCATATGCTGTAAGGGTTCTTGTCTAACTCCATCTCTTAACTCACAAGGGGTTTTGATACAGTTTTTTGTGAACTTTTGGTATTCTCAGTTATATAGCATTAATTTCTGCCCACACAGGGAAAGCAGAAAGAACAATGATACTGAGATTTGATTTAATACTAGCATACACCTGATCCTAGTTTGGCAAATTTACCTCAAAATATTCGTCACGTTTTTAAGTTGCATTTATTTCCTGCGATATTCCTATATATAGTACATCACACTTCCTCCTTTAAGAAAACTGTGAAAAAGAGAAAATAGGATGGTTTTAATCACTTTACATTTTTTTACATTGAGAATTCTTTCAGAGAGTATTAAGCACTTGCAGACAAGTTCTTATAAATTAATAGCTTTTTATTTTATGCAAATAATGCATCTTTTGGTGAGGTCTGGTGGCCTAGTGGCAAGAAGCTGCACTGTAATCCCAGAAGTGAGCAGTTTGAACTCACCAGATGCTCTGCTGGAGAAGGAGTGACAGTCTCCTCCTGTACCAATCAGATCCAGTTTGATGGTACACACACACACACACACACACACACACACACACACTTTAAAAAAATTGAAAAAAAAATCCCACAAATACTTCTTTTTTAAAAAATTGACATTAAAATAGGCTATTTTTTAACAAAAGGATTTGAAGTTACAAAGAAAAGAGCTCACATGGGTGAGCTCAGAGTATGTGATTTATAAATACTGGTCAGAGAAAGATGAAGACTCTCAACAAGATGGATTGACAGTTGACACAGTAACTACCACAATGGACTTGAGCCTGAATGACAGAGATCATGAGGTTGGTGCAGGATGGGGCAAACTTTGGATCGTAGGGTTGTTTTAAGTTGTAGTCAACTTGATAGCACCAAACAACGCCAATGTGTTCACACATACTTTCTGAAGAAGGGTTCTTGAAGAATAAAGACTTTGAAAAATTAAAATTTGAATTAAAGTTTACAGAGAAGATTAGTTTTCCATCCAACCGTGCATGTACATTTTGTTTCATGGCATTAGTTACAGTCCCCACAATGTTAGCTGCCCTCGTCCTGCCTCCTCCCGCTGAGTATTTTTTCCATTCTTCCCCCTATCCTGTCCTGTCCTGCCTACTTAGCTTTATCCTTGGACAAATGCTGCCCTTTTGACATTATGTGGTGAATTGTTCAAAGGAGTAGGTACCTTCCTCCCTTGTATTGTGTCTTAATACCTAGGCTGTTGTTTGGTTGAACGTTAAACACTGGACTAGATTTTGCTCCAGACTTGAAGTGTGAGTAAGGCACATAATCTGAGAGATTCCAGTCTCTATCAGACTGGCTAGTCTGGCCTTTTTTGAGTTTCAGGGTTTTTGCATATTTTTTATCCACTCTTTTGAAGACCTACTGTGACCCCGTTTTTGAGTGGTCAGTCAGCTGTGGTGGCCGGGCACCATCTGGTGGTCTCAGGGTCGTGGAGGTTGCGATTCGAGTGGTCCATTGGTCCCTCTCTGCTTTGCTTCCTCCTCTGTTCCGCACAGGGCGAAACCAATAGTAGCATCTTAGATAGCTACTCACAAACTTTTGTGACCCCTGTCACTTACTTACCAAAGAAGAGTAGGAACTTTTAAAAAAGCCTCTGTAGATGGATTCGTCACAGTCCTACTGCCTCATATCCTCCATCCTGTAATCCCAGGAGTCTTGAGAGACTCAGAGTCAAGGTCTCATTTATCCTAGCATCTTTCTTGATCTTACAGCTGAGGGAGCAAATGTGATGAATCTGACTAATATCTTTGATGCTTTTTCATGTACTCACTTCTATTTGGAAGCTGACCCCAGGGAGCGCTGGTGGTGTTGTCTGTAGGCAGTTGCACCACTAACTTAAAGACCACACCCCTCTGGCAGTTCAAGTCCAGCAGCCACTCCATGAGAGAAAGATGGACAGTCTCCTTCCATGCAGTTTATAGCCTCTGCAAATCTGTTGGAGGGTCATCTGTGAGTCAGTTCCAACCCAACATCAATGAGTTTGAGTTGTAAACTGTGGCAGGTCTCCTTGTTCACCTCATTGTCTTGCCATCACTTGGACTTTATAAAAGTCTCCTGTGACTGCAGACTGGGAAGAGGTGGTTGGCCCCAACCCTGGAGAGGGACAGC